CTTTCCCTCTTTTGTTCCTTCTTTCCTTCTCTCTGCTCTCTCTCTTTCCTTCCCTCTTTCCTCCTTCTGTGGCCCAACTCTAGTGAGAAGGGGTTTAAACTTTAAACCCCTTCTCTCTCGCTTCCCCCCCTCGCAGGCCAGCTGGGGAAGGGAAGGGGAGGCTTTTGAAGATGCCTCCCCTTTGCTTCCCCTTCTGACATCACTTCCGGTGATGTCAGGGGGCATGGCATATGCTAATAGTCTAGTTGCTCATTAGCATACCATATGCTAATGAGCTCCTGCAGCTCTTTTTCTACGAAAAGACCCCTGTGTATCTCATTGACATCAAAGAGCAACATTAGTCCCTATTAGCTCTTCATTGATTTTAATGCCATTTAAATGTGACTTCTTCTCTCTCTAAACTGGAGCAAATGCCTTTTTGTGCTCCAGGGTGAGCTCTTGGGGGAAACAGGGTTCTGCAGGTTTCCAATGTGGTCAAGTTTCACCCTAGGGGAAAGCTGACTCTGGAGGTCATCAGTTGCCCACATCCAATGATGTCACCAGTATATCTTCCCCAACCCAGTCTCTGGAGCAATTTCGCAACAGTTGTTAAATGCTTGTAGTTGGAAGAGGGGAAAATGAAATACAAGCAAATAAATGTACATGTTTTTTAAAATAGAAAGGCAATCACCCATTTGATGCATGCAGGGGTATTTTATTTTTGGCCCCTTAGGAGCAGGAACCATTTTTATTTTTGGTTCCCTTTCTCCATTCTTCTGAGGCAAAAGAGATGGCATACTAAAGCCTCGATGTTAGCTGCAATTAATGTGTTAGAAAGCCAGAAACATTTACCTTGGGATGTTTAGGTGAATTATAGTGCCATCCTAACAGAATCAATGGGCTTAGATGGGTGTTATTCTGCTTAGGGTGGCACTCTTAATTTTGCTACCTCCTCTTGGTGCAAATTATTCCCATATTTCAGGTTGGGAAGGAATTTTATACACAACTCCAATCAGTCACTGTCCCTTGATTTTTCACCCACACCGGGCAGCACACCATGAAGCACCTAGTGTGGTTCACTTGAGTGAGCTGACCATTCTTTAACAGTGGGCAATTTGTGAGTATCTATTTTCTGCATCTGGCAGGGATATGAGTGGTATGCATTATTTTATTTGTTTGTTTGTTTTTGGGATTTATATTCTGCCCTCTCTGCAAGCAGGCTCAGAGCAGGTCACAACAGTTAAACTACCGACATAATAATAAATCCAATACCAATACAAATCATAAAAAGTTAGAATTTCTAAATCAACAACAGATGACAAAAATCTTAATTTCCAGTAACCAAAGTTATCTCCAGTGCTGGGTCTATGTTGACAAAAATAGGACACACTCAGCAGATGCCATAGCAATCTCTACAAAGGGCAGTTCACCTGGGCAATATAGGCAGAGGAGGCCAAAATGTTTAGACGTCCACCGCCTCTAGGGTTGCCAGCCTCCAGGTGGGGCCTGGGGATCTCCTGCTTTTACAACTGATCTCCAGCTGACAAAGATCAACTCCCCTGGAGAAAATGGCTGCTTTGAAGGATGGACTCTATGGCATTGTACCATGCTGAGGCCCCTCCCCTTCCCAAACCCCGCCCTCTCCCGGATCCACCCCCAAAGACTCCAGGTATTTTCCAACCCAGACCTGGCAACCCTAGCTGCCTCAGCCAAAGGCCTGACAGAATATCCATCTTACAGGGCCTGCAGAATTGCATTAAATCCCGCAGGGCCCTGATCTCCAGTGTGGAGGATCCATTTTGAATGTTAGCTTATCAGAAAGCTCTGCAGTTCTTTGATTCTGTGGTAATTCGTGAAAATGTCCATGATCCTGTAGAGAGTTTACAGCATCCCACTGCCTTTTAAAATCCTTAATCTTTTAAAATGGTACATGTCTGTAAAAGTTGTGACCCCACTGGTTCACGTAAGTCAGAGATCTGAAGCAAAAACCTCTGGTTGTGCTGCTGTACAGGAAAAGGAGGCCCTGCTCTATTTTAATCTCTCTCAGTGTGTATGCCTGTGCCCATACATGTTGGTACTCCACTACAGCTAGAAGTGTTGATCCTTCTCTCAGGAGATCAGAGATGCCCTGCCCCTGCCGCTTCTCTTTCTAGGTATCTATTAAACACAATTGTATGCTAAAAACTGCACAGTATCAACCAGGCCCATACAACTTGTGGCCTGTCATGCCAACTGCAGCCCACTAAGTAGCCCACCAAAGGTTCAATACTTTTTCTGTGTGCTGTTTGCCTAGGGTTGCAAAAACTGGCCAGGGGTATATGTGTGTTAAGCCCCTGCCAGGCCATGATGTCAGAGAGCAAGAGTTCAGTTTCCTGGATCACAAAGTATGCAGGCTTGGTATAAATCTAACAAGTTAAGCCAGTAATAGAAGAAATCTTTCATTTCACAGTGCATAGTTTTATCTAGCCCTCATAGTTGTGGTGAAGACACTGGAAAGGTGTGGCCAGTTCCTCAAGCTCTTTCATCAGAGATATGGTGTGAGTTTTTCAATGGTCCAGGAATAAGGTTTTCTGAACAGGAAATATTCTCATGTTTATCTACTTCTATTTTCTTCTGATGATGGAATATATGATAGTCTGAGAATGCTTGCGTCCAATGAAAAGACACAATAAAAGGAAATGTTATAGGGTAACAGAAGGTGGGTTGGAGTTGGATGAAGCCGCCATATTTTCTATGGCATTCACAATTGATATTCACTCTGGTTTATTCAGCTGCAGGCCCTGGCTTCTGAACTTAAAACTGGTTTCACTGAAGCAATGCAGGAACTTTCAAGAATTCAACATGGGGAGTATGCTCTTGAGGAGAAGGTTCAAAGTTGCCGATGCGCAATGGAGGAGAAAGTGGCAGAGATGAAGAATTCTTTGAACTGTTTCAAGGTAGGCCATATGTGCTGATAATTTGTCCCATTCTAACAAAGACGATTCAGAGCATATCAAAATAGACCTGCCTGAGGAGTAGAAGAGGCAGTCATACCATATAGCAGGGGTGGCCAGACTTGCTTAACCTAAGAGTCACATTGAATAAATGTCAGATGTTTGAGAGCGACAAAATATTAACAGATATTACACACATGTTTTTATTGAAAAATATGCAATTTTTATTAACATTAAATGAGACTGCCAAAAATAAAAACAAAAGGGGTAAAAACAGATATTGATAATGATATTTATTCATCCAATGATATTTATTTGTCTAAGAGAGAAAGAGAGTGAGTGGAAGGAAGGAAGGAAGGAAGGAAGGAAGGAAGGAAGGAAGGAAGGAAGGAAGGAAGGAAGGAAGGAAGGAGGGAAGGAGGGAAGGAAGGAAGATGGGGAGGGAGGGGGAGGAAGAAAGAGAGCGAGAAAGGAAGGAAGGCATGGACAGAAAAATAGAAAGAAAGGTGGAAAGAAAGCAAAAAGATGGGGGAGGATGGAAGGAGGAAAGAGAGAGAGAGAAACAAAGAAAGCAAATTGATATGGAGGGAGTGGGAGGAAGGAAGGAAGAGAGGGAGAGTGAAAGACAGAAAGAAACAAGGAAAGCAAATAGATGGGGAGGGAGGGGAAGGAAGGAAGGAAGGAAATAGATGAGGGAGGGGGAGGAAGGAAGGAAGAGAGAGAGAGAAAGAGAAAGGAAGGAAGGAATAGCAAAACACAGAAGAAGAAAGGTGGAAAGAATGCAACTAGATGGGAAAAGAGGAAGGGAGGGAGAGGTGGAAAGAAAACATATTTTACTTTAAATGTGTTCTCCAACCCCCCCCCCCCCAACCACTCCACCCAGCTTGGCTTGGAGAAGGGATTTAAAGAGACAAATGCCTTCTCCAAGCTGGTGGGTGGGTCCGTGGGGTGGGGGCTTGTAGAACACCTTTAACTTTAAATGTGTTCTCCAAGCCCCCTGCCCCTGCTGCTGCTTTGGCTTGGCTTGGAGAAAGGATTTAAACAGACTAATGCCTTCTCTAAGCCAAGCCAACTGGCCAGTGTGTCAGTGGGGTGGGGCTTGGCGAACACATTTAACTTTAGATGGGGGGGAGAGAGAGAGAGGAAAGAGGAGGGAGAGGGAGAGGTGGAAAGAAAGCAACTTTAAATGCTTCCTCCAAGCTTTGAGAATGCATTTAAAGTTAAAGTTGCTTTCTTTCTCTCCTTCCCCCACACCTCAGGGAGGGGAACACTGGCTGGGGAAGGGAAGACCTGAGGGAACACTGGCTGGGGAAGGGAAGACCTATCAGGGAGGAATGCCTCCCTTTCGCTTTCCCAGTCACCCTGCTATTAGCCACACAATATGTGTGAAAGAGCCACATGCAGCTTCCAAGCCACAGTTTGGCCACCCCTGTCCTGCATCTAGCATGGAGATGTAGACATACATGTATGTTTCTCACTGGCAAACTCTTCTATAATTAGTTTTGCCATTTTTTCAAGTGGTTCATTTGAATGGGGCAGAGCGTCTATGAGCTAGCATCTATAATGTCTTCAACATGCCTCCCACCCCTAAGCTCCCATAACTCTAACTATGGAAAAGAAGAAGAGTAGGTTTTTATACCTTGCTTTTCTCTACCCTAAGGAATGTCAAAGCAGCTTACAATCACATTCCTTTCATCTCCCCAACACAGTCATCCCTATCCATCCTAACTAGTTAGACTAGATTAGAGTCCTATCTCTATCCTGTCTAGAATGGAGTTCCTTACAATAAAGAACTCATATTAGTTTTGCAAAGATGAAGAGGCTCCTTCTGTAACTTTGTTTTTTTGTCAGCACACACAAACCAGATAGACTCTGCTACATTATGTGCCTTGAGCACTCTGCTAACCAAATAATCCTTCCATACAAGGTCGTAGACTTTCCAATTTCCCGGGGGGGGGGGGCTGGGGCTGAGCCAGAGTTGCTCTGCTAGGTTCTTAAAAGAACCGAGGCCCAGTGACATCATAGGGAGGACACAGTGACATCACAGACTATTGTCACAATCTTGAACGGAGATCTTTGAAACGGAGATGAGCACCGCAACCCTAGAGTCGGACTCGACTTGCTTTCGAGCAAGGGAACCTTTACCTTTACCCTATCTGGACCCAAAGACCTTAATGGAAAAAGCATTCCACATTTTCTTTGCAACTTTTTTTGTGCTGCAATGTATTTCAATGGAGCCCATGCAAGTCAATTGGCATTCTTGGCTCTCATTATCTCCAGTGGGCCTTCAAGCCTCTCCCATTGTTTCCAATGGGCAATCCTGTCATTCCATTTACACATCCCAATTAATTGTCCCTTTGAAATTGTACCATGCCATTTTAAGTAATAGCAAAATGAAGAGCATGAACATGTACAGAATGCACATTTCTTGCCAACGTTCTCTCTGGCAAAAGGAAATTTTAAAAGGACTCTGATCTGCATGTCCCCCCCCCATCTTGTTCATGCAGATGGGCTTACCATTTAAAAACAGACATCCTGTGAGATAGGTGGGGCTGAGAGAGCTCTTTTGAGGACTGCTCTTGAGAGAACAGCTCTGAAAGAACTTGTGATTGACCCAAAGTCACACCAACAGCTGCAAGTGAAGGAATGCGGAATCAAACCCAGTTCTCCCAGATTAGAGTCCATGCTCTTAACCACCAAACTGTAACTCAAAACCTATCTCTTTTAGAAGCAAGTATAAGAAACATAGGACACCCTCTCCACCACATCAGAGCCTTTAAGCAGATCATTTCCAAAACAGTCCTTCAAAGCCTAATTATATCAACTAAGCAGCAAACAAGATACACTGTTTTGAAAAGTATTTCCCTCATAAATGCTCAGAGATCCTGTTGTCTCCCAGCAGTGACATTTATTCACAACCCAGAAAACTAAAGATGCATCAGAGCCCTCAACGCAATGCTTAAGCAATGGGGAGGGGGGAGAGAATGAGAAGGCACTTATGTAACTGGGACACACTTCAGCTTAGTAAGCTGCCAAGCACAAAAAAGATCGGACAGGTCACTTCACTAAGATGGTTTAGCTACAGTGGATATGATCCCAGATACAGTTGCCTGCTCTGGGTTGGGAAATACCTGGAGATTTGGGTTCTTGAAAGAGTGCGGTTTGGAGAGGGGAAGGACCTGTGTGGTACAATTCCATAGAGTCCACCCTCCAAATTAGCCATTTTCTCCAGGGGGAACTGCTCTTTTGATCTTTGTAGTCTGGAGATCAGTTATAAAAGCAGGAAGCCTCCAGGCCCTACCTGAAGATCGTCAGCCCTAATCCCAGACCTGGCATACTTTTCTCCATGCTTGTTAAATGAAAAACAGCAGACCATGTGTGAATAGCGTTTCATAAAAGTGACAAAACTTGAAAACTGGAAAGTATGTCCTTATTTGAGTTTAGTCTGGTATGCAATTTCAGCAGCATTGGAGGGAGAAAGTTGGGCCCACTGACTTCTTCTCTAGAAGACAGGCCTAAAGGAACGATTGTAGCAAATGTTGATGGAGGAGGAGAAGGACGCATGCGGCTTGCACCCGCACTTCCACTGGCTGGCTCCACACTCAACACACACACACACACTTATGACTGCTGTCCACGGCATGCCCAGGAGGCGTGCCAGGCTGTGGCTGCTGAAGAGGAGAAGGACGCAGCCTCCCTCACACATCTCCACCCCCCACCTCCATGCATCCCCCAGGGCTCACACACTCTTTGCACATGTGTGCGCGCACACACACACATGACAGCTGTGTTAATGGAGACTCCCTCTCGGTGGCTGCCAATGGGGACAAGTAGGACATGTGCAGCCTTCCCCCCCCACCTCCATGCATCCCCCTGGCTCTCTCTGTCTCTGTCTCTCTCTCTCACACACACACACACACACACACACACATGACAGTGGTGGCAGGCCCACGAGGGAAGGTCTTGGGAATGATGGGGGAAAGAAGTCAAGTAACAGAAGCGGAGTCTCCCTGCCCAGGGCTGGCAAATGTAATTAAAGGGTAGCAGTTTGGGAAGGCTGGCACCTAGGAGCCTGGGACAAAAAAAAAAGGGGTTGTCCTTGCTAAGATAGCATCGTGCCTGTGTGCAAGGAGGACCCAGGTGGCATAAAGTGAAGGGAATCCCTCCCATCCTATTTCTTATTAGATGGTTCCTGTATGTCCCTGTCTCATGATAATCGGGTGGGAGGGAGCACGGGAAGAGATACTTCCCCCTCCCTCCCACCTCCCCGCATTCCCCCTTGCTCACTCTCTCACTCAAACGCACACACTAGCCCAGGACAGCTTCTCGATGGCTCCAGTGAGGAGGGGCCTGCATCCCCACGGCCTCGGATGAGCGAAACTACCTCCCCCCCACCTGCTTCTCGGTGTGCATGCCATGGCCGCACTACTGGGACTAGGACCAACCTCCTCTCTACCTTCCAATTCAAATCCTGGCACTGGCAAGGGGCCAGCACAGCAGCTTTCCTCTGAGTCTCAACTCAGCTAGGCAGTGGCGGCTCAGCAGCTCATGCAACCTGCCCTGGCCAGAATGAGGGTGGTCGGGAGCTGGGGCGTCTTTTGAGGCAAACTATTGGAACTGACTGAAACCAATCTGAACAAGACAGGTGAAAATGAAAATGAAGAGCTGTGTGGTGGCTTGGGGGGGGGGAATCAGTGGGCTAGGGCAGGCTAGTGGGAACCGCCCCAAACATGTGAGAATTGTGAGGTCTATAGTAGCTATGAGGGCTCTAGCCTTCTGACCATAGAGAGGAAGTGCTAGAGCGTCACCCCGATGCCACCATTTCTCCCCCCACTGCCCAATTTTTTAAAAGCAGAGAACGAATTCTCAGACTGGGGCTCCTCCATTCCCACCTGGGGCCTGCCTGGCAAGCCTAAGGTGAGCCTGACTTCCTTTTTTCTAGCTCAAAGAAAAAAATCCACATGGGAAAGTTTGAAACTCAATGTTGCCTGGCACTGGTTGCCCGGGGGGGGGGGGGCGCAATTCATTCTCACCTGGAAAAATTCAGGGAAGGCCCACACCCCCAAGTAGTCTACGCCTATGCTTCAGTAGGCTTCACGTGAAGGAGGAGGAGAATCAAATCTGGTTCTCCAGATTAGAATTTGCAGCTGTTAACCACTACACCACGCTGGCTCTCCAATGATTTATTTATTTGATAATGTGAAGGGTGAAATGCATACATATCAATAGATGTAGATTTGACCTTTAAAAAAAAAAAGATGGCCAAATTTGCCTAATTTACAAGAAAAAGAAGAAGAGATTGGATTTATACCCTGCCCTTCACTCGGAGTGAGAGCGGCTTACAAACTCCTTTCCCTTCCCCTCCCCACAACAGACACCCTGTGAGGCAGGTGGGGCTGAGAGAGCTCTCAAGAACTGCCCTTTCAAGAACAGATCTGACAGAACTATGGCTTGGCCAAGGTCATCCAGCAGCTGCAAGTGGACGAGTGGGGAATCAAGCCCGGTTCTCCCAGATTAGAGTCCATGCAGATTAGAGCCAGAGCAAGATGTAGGACTGATCTAGTGGTATGTATATCTTTAAGTTGAGTTCACTATGATGGATCCCTGCCTTTTCTTCTCTGTGAGGCAGATTTTCCTGCCAAAACAATGTTCCCTACTCTGACTGAGCAGCCTCCTAGTAGTGTATATGAATTATAGAATTATAGCTTTCTGCGTGTCCCACCTTGTGATAGAGAAGTTTTTCGGCTTTTGCCCAGGCCAGAGATTTATTGTAACTCAACAGGAGCCCTCTTTGGAAATGGTCGTTGATACGAAGTAAAGTTAAAACAAAAAGGTTGATTTTATTGAATAGGCACAGTTGGATCAGGAATAGGGCAGGGGGTGAGAAGTTGAGGTAACTGCTGTTGATTATACAAATCAGAATATTTTGAACAGGCAACAGAGTATGACTGAAGGAGAGTCAGTTCTTGACTGTGAGAGGTTTGCTTGTCTTGGAGATGTCTTTCAACAACAATGTGTCTTAATAACATTTCATAAAACTATCAGTTTCCTGGAAATTAGTACTTGCTTCCTGTATTTGAATACTTCCCTTGTGGATTATAACTTTCCCTTAAAAAACCAAAACTCTTGAAAAGTCTAAGACTGTTTCCCTTTTCACACAAACCAGGGGTCCTTTCTGAGTTGAACCTCTGAACAACTGGGTAAGAAATATCCTCCTCTTTCTAGGAGCGATAATCCTTTTTCTGTTTGGCTAGACTGGCAGTTTTCAACCTACTGTCCAGCCTCTTCTGTCAAACATAAACCCTAGTTGTGGAGACTGTGAATAAACGGAATTCAGCTAGGGCTGGCACTTAGACTTTAAATTCTGCTTTTTGAACTTTTCCTCAAATGTGTTGGTACACAGTAAGGGCAAGGAGTTGTGTTCGTTCACTTCCCAAGTGACTTGTCTGTTTCCCTCAGACCGACACACACACTCCTCCTGACTAGCCAAAGTCATGCCAAAGTCCAAACAACCACTGACTCACTCTGACAAGACTGACAAATCTTTTTAAAACTCTCCTCAGCTGGTGCTGACCAATCAGAGAGAAGGGGGGTGTACGCAGGCAGCAGCCTGTTAATCAAACTGCTTTACAGTGAGGCATTAACCCCTAATCTCCCAGTTCTCTGACTTTGATGCACTAAGCATCCTGCTTTTGGGGGTCCATTCGTCACTCAATATCCTATGCTATCTTCAATTTGGTAAGGTTGGAGTAACCTGCTGGGTCGTCATCACTTCTGTATCTTCATTGTTAGCTTTCCCTAAGAAACAACTTGTATGTTCAAAACTCATTAAGAATCAGCTTGCCAACCACTCATTAGTCACCCCCAGTAATTTCTGCCTTCTACTTATCTCTCTGAGGATAAGGATACACCACTCTTGTTGACCTATAACATACCATCCCTGATTATCTTTCCCATGCCGCATGTCAGCATTGCTCTTTTTAATTAGGAGGAGCTTAATGATGCCAAGTCCATGATTGAGGAAATCAGTACCAAGCAAGAAGAAATGCAGCAGAAAATTGAGCAGTTGCAGCAAGAGAAGAAGAAAGAGTCCCGTAAGCTCAAAGCTAAGTAAGTAAATGAATTTCAAATGTTTTGCACAGTGTCTTTATAACTTCAGAACAGCTTCAGTTTCTACACAGTACCTGGAATTGGTTCTTTCTTTACTTCCTCCTGGCAGAATTCTATCTGTACTACATAAAATAAGATTACTGGATAGAAAATCAGTTATATTCATTTGTGTCACCTTAGATCATAAATTAAACATGTACTTCCAAATGCCTGTTTTGGTTGTCTTGCTTCCACTCTTCCCTTTCTTCTCAGAAGAATACAAAAGGAGGAGCATGGGTCACAAACAGTGCCAACACCTCTACAAGGAAGCCCCTTCCGGTCACTGAACCTCCCGGAGCCAGTTTTAATTAATGAAGATTTTGTAAACCTTTTGCACAATGCAACTTATGAGAAAGGTATTTATTTTCTTTGACTGTATACACTTTGCTGTCATGTGAACTCTATGCAGCTTACAGTATTCCAACACTTCTTCCTCCTCGGCTCCCTCCCCTAACTTCCCTGGGATACAGAGGGTGAGATGGCCTATCTTATCTTGAAGTGTAGAGTGAAGAGAGAGATACCAATAAATGCAGATGGATACATCCTCCTAGATGATGACTGTGACGGCCCCTTATATGGGGAGGACTGGTTTCCCTTTAAAAGTGTTCTTTATTTTATTCTACTGGGTATATCTCGCTGCCACCAGGAAATTTAAGGTTTTCCAAACCTTTATGCTTTTACTTTTGTTATCACTGGGTAGGTAGGTCGAGTTTAAGGCTCATGAGGAACTATGTGGTCTTGAGGAAGTATTCCTTTCAGAGCTGGTATACTTAAATAAAAGAAGATTTATTGAAATAATTCATAAATAAAAGGGTAGAACAATGTAACCAGTAATGTGAGTATTTTGAATAATTGCTTGGTGTCTCACACAAGATCTGCTCCCTTACTGACAGGGATCTTTCAGGTAACTTTGTAACACTTTAACTTAAGGTCTTATAAGTTCACTGTTTCTCTCCAAGATATCAGGACATACAGCCTTTCCTATAATTTGTCTTCAATTAAACTTTCATTTACTTTTTCTTATCTTATTCTCTGTAACTTCCTTCATACACAGAACTAACTCTTATATCACACACATGACTGCTTCTCTCACAGACCTCAGAACGAACTAACTTATCAACTGTCTTTATCAACTGTCAAACCTGTAACTGTCCCTCCTGACATACATATTCATCCACTCAGAACCACTTCCAAAACCCCTCCACCTCTCTGTCAATCACCAATCACACCACTCTTGTCTCTTCAACCACTCTAATATATCTCAGCCATGCAACCAAACTTTTAAAGAGACACACACACATATAAAACAAGGAATCATTACAATGACCTTTTCTGCATAAAGATGATTTTTGGTGTTTTCCCCATTACTACTGCTTCTGTCCATTCAGTGCAGTGGCAGCGGGGCTTCTACGTGACAGGTTTCTTGCATTTTCCATGTGCCAGGTCCTTGCAGCAGCCGTGCAACTAGGGGCTTTTTCATGGGGTTTTAAAATCGCTAATTAACATATTGATATAAGGTTATATCAATACGTCAATTACCAATTTTAAAAAATTTGAAAAGTACCCCTGGTGGCAAGGGAGAGACTGATTGCTGCGGGGGGCTGATTAGGGTGGGGCTGAGAAGATCAGGACTTTCCTGTGCACATGGCAGCCACCCCAGCTTTGCTGTGATTTTTTGAAAAAGATTGTAGTAAAGCAGGTTTTGGAACAATTACAGGCAAGACTGCGAAAAGCACTGGTAGTATTACAGAGACCAGTTGACTCAATTTGCTACCGGATTGTCTTAATGTTTCAGTCCGCTTCTGATCTACGCTCTGGACAAGACAAGATATCTTGGCTAGGAAAGCAGAAAAGAATAGAGCCCTTAGGCTCCAGAAAGAAGCTCCAATTTTACAGGGGGTTAAGGTACAACTTAAATATAGTGTAACACAATAGATATTGTTGATATAGTGACTATCAGTTGCTTATACAGAATAAAGCCTTGTTTAGTTACATCCTGGAATCTTATTGTGTGTTAATATTCGGGTGAATATGGGTGTTACGAAACAGTTTTGAGAATCTTTGGGACCTGAGAGACTTGAGGTAAAAGCCTGGTATAAATCACAGAGTAGCAATTTTCCACTAGAATTTGTAGCATGCATTCTAACTTTCTATGGGATGTACTGGAACTTTCTCTTCAGTCTTATGAAGCTACCCTCCTTATGCACCGCTTTTCCCATGGGGGGGGACTCCGTTTTAGTAAAATAATCAATTTATGTCGAACTCACGTTCACTGTTGGTCATAACTTGACCCCGCTCTCTTCATATGCTATTTCACTTGATCTCCTGCGCTTGTCCCGGTTAGATTGGCTTGTACCCTAAGGTCACCCTGGACCTTCGGGGCGGAGGGAAGCCTCTATTCTCTGGCATCTAGCCGTCGAAGAGGCTAACCCTCAAAAGCCCCCTGGCCTGGAACCCTTCACCAGGGCTCCGTGGGGGTGCCACTGACCCTTATCGATAAATACGGCAGCAACTGAATTGTGTTGCTTTATTGTTCTCTTCCAATGCACTGGAAAAAGAAAACCTACAAATATTGGAGGATCTTATTTTACTGATGCTTTTTGATATGACTCAAAGATCTGTGCTGTTCTTTTCCAGTTGCCGATTGCAGACCTTTGGCACGAGGAGAAGGAAATGTGAAAGGTAACAATGTGACATTTTGGTGCTGCCTGGGGGGAGTTTCCTGTGGTCAGGTTGTGTGTGTTAATAAACAGCTATGGGGGCTCCCAGGTGGGACTGAGGCTGGGGTGCAGGAAAGGAGGAGTCACCCATTGTCCTATGTCTTTCCCCAACACAAATCCTCTGTGTTGTGTGTGAAAATGGCATAGGAGAAAGGGCCAGCCTCTCCCCAAGAGCTCTAGCCTCAGCCTAAATTCCTTTACTCCTGTTGTATGCATAAGAGTTAATATCCTAATTTTATTTTTATGTTGACAAATGATAACCAAACTCATTAAAAGAGTTTTTATTTTCCCCATTTTTCAAACATACGTGTTGTTAATACTGCAACTTCACCAAGTTTCCATGACTTTACAGTAATTTCCCTTCCCAATGCTGAGGGCTTGCGATCATGGTATGTACTTGCTATTGAAATCTTTGCTGCATTTAACAAATTTCACACCAGTTAATTTAATAGGGATCTTAATTAATTTCTGGCACTCACTAGCAAAAGTTGTGGCAGTGGGCAGGAGCTGCAATGGGATCTCACCCCACCCTTATACTGTCATCCCCCTCTTGAAGCTTAGGGCCACTTTCTCCATCTTTGGCCATGTTCAGACTATTATTTCTTCACTATCCTGGCATTCACATTTTTATTCAGATTTAGTACATTGGTTTCACAACCTTCTAACAGTTTTCCTTTATTTAAAACAACAGACTACTGTTGGTAGGAGCGGCTTCTGACATCTTCCATGTTGAATTTTGTACTAGTCAAATGAGCTGTGAGCCAGCATGATGTAAGTGGTAAGAATGTCAGTCTAGGACTTAAGAGATCCAGGTTCGAATCTCCACTCTGCCATGGAAGGTCACTGGGTGACCTTGAGCCAGTCACTCTCTCTCAGCCTAACCTCCCTTGAGAGGATAAAATGGAGGAGGGGGAGAACAATGTAAGCTTCCTTGGTTCCAGTGAGGAGAAAGGCAGGTTATAAATGAAGTAAAATGAATAAAATGTGGGATTAAAGGAACACATATCAGTCCTGCTAGAACGTTTTAATCTTCTTTCCTTTTTAAAAACAAATATTTATTTTTATTATACAATGTAACAATAAACACAGAGTCATCGAAATTGTAAAATGCAAAGCAATTTCAACAAGATACAATTTAATGCTTTAATTTTTAGGGATAATGGGTACAAATCTGGACACAGAAGAAAGACCTTCCTTGTCAACTGATGCTCAGTCAAAAGGTCATTCATCATCCATGGTGTGGAAACAGCCCAAAGACAGTAAAGAGTGGAGTGATGAACATATTTCAAAGGAACAAACTGACAGGCAAAAAGAAGTTAGCCCAAGTCGATATAGCTCAATAGAGAATGTATTGAGGGAACCTTCTATCGCAGGTAAGAATAGCAGTAGACTGCAGAAGGCTTTAATGGTTTTCAAGGAATACGATAATCATTGTCAGCTGTAGGGGCATGAGATTGCTTATCCTATTGCAGTTTTTAAAATTTGAGATCCAATCCATTTGAAATTGACTGTGATCCCTTTTTGCATTCTTATGTGTGGAAAAGCATGGTATAAATTTGTTAAAAGAAAATAAAATCTAAATAAAATTTAAAATAAGATGCTTACAAACAAAAAAAGCAGTTAAAATGTTCTTCTGTGGTCACATTTCACTGCATTTTCCCCCTGAGACGAAGACATTAGCATAGACTGGTTATAAGGCCCTTGGGGAAGGATTCCTGTATGGCAATCATGTAAATAATTTAAAATTTGTAGTGACTATCCGGATATGTTTTATAGGAAGATTTTGTTATGAACTCACTAGGGATGATTCTAAAGGGACCTGTACCATTTAAATGGAAGATGGATGGATGGATGGATGGATGAGGGCTAACAAACTGAAGCTTAATCCTGACAAAACATAAGATCTGCTGGTGGGAGAAAGCCTTGACCCAGGAAATTTGGGCAAAGTTTGACCCAGGAAATGGGATAGCTCCTGTACTTGATGGCGTTTTACTCCCCCTAAAGGAACAGGGTCATAGCTTTGGGGTGCTGCTGATGCTGAACCTGGGCCTCCTGTTGACTGAACAAGTGGCAGAAATGGCCAGGGGTGCCTTTCAGCAGCTTCAGCTGGTGAGCCGGCTGTGGCCCTTCCTGGACAGGAAAGATCACGCTACTGTTATACATGCCCTGGTAACATCTAGATTAGATGAATGCAGTGAAGTATGCAGGGCTGTCCTTGAAAACTCTCTGGAAGCTACAGTGGATACAGAATGCTGTGTCCACCTTCTCCCATATGAACCTACCTGTCCACTCTTGACATCTTTGGAGGACCTGCTTCAGGTGCCCCACCATCTGAGGCTAGATATGTGGCAACCTGACGAAGGGCCTTCTTGGTCATAGCACCACAACTTTGGAACTCCCTCCTCAGATTTGCCAGTCTCTCTCTCTTGTTGTGCTCCACTGATGAGTGAAGTCTTTTGTTTTGTTTGGCACATTCCAGTAACGGTTATTGTCCCTCCTCCCTGGTTTTGGTGTTTTGTGTGTGTGTTTATTGAATTATCATATATATATATATATATATCTCCAGTGTATTGGCTCTCCCATTGGCTGTGCTGTGCACTCCATCAGCCATTGGCCCATCAACTGCCACTCAAGTACTTGCGTGCCATTGGCTGGGTGCTGGGTCTGCTCCTCTCCCCCACCCACTGCTGGCCTGGCCACTTCCCTGACAGAGTAAACTGCCAAAACGGCTGTCTCTCCTGATGAAGACGCTTCTTCTGCTGGTCTCCTGTGGGGCTAACTTTCCCCACAGTGGCTGTTGCTAGGCAACCAAGCTTGGTTCTATAGGTAAAAAGGCAAAGGTGGGAGGCCCATTCCAGGCTTACTTTGGCCTTTGTGGGGAACTCATTGGGGCCAGTCCTGACTAGTGCTGCCAGCTCCAGGTTGGGAAATCCCTGGATATTTTGTGGTGGAGTCTATAGAAGCCAGAGTCTGGGGAGGGGAGAGGCCTCAGCTGAATAGAATGCCATAGAGTCCACCCTCCAAAGCAGTTATTGTTTCCTGGGGAACCATTGCTGCCAGTATCCAGGTGAGGGCTGGAGATCATTTATAATTGAAACTGCTCTCCAGATGGCAGAGATCAGTTCCCCTGGAGAAAATGGCTGCTTTGCAGGATGGACTCTCTGTCTGCTGATGTCGCTTCCCTCCTGCTTGGGTCTCCACTGTGGAGAAAGACTGTACTTTTCCTAGGTAGAGGCTGTGGGGTGGGGAGATGGAAAGCTGAAGTCAGTGGGGCACATAACAGTACGTTGATGGTTGAAGAAGGAGATAGGGTTGCCAACTCCAGGTTGGGAAATTCCTGGAAATTTGAGGGATGGAGATTGGAGAGAGTGGGTTTTGAGGAGGGGTGGGAACTCAGACAGGTACAATGCCATAGACTCCACCCTACAAAGCAGTTATTTTCTCCTTGGGAACCATTGCTGCCAATCTCCAGGTGAGGGCTGGAGATCACTCAGAATTATAACTGCTCTCCAGATGGCAGAGATCAGTTCCCCTGGAGAAAATGGTGGACTCTGTGTCATTGTACCCTGCTGAGGTGCCCCCCCATGACAACCAGTGTGACATAGCAGTCTGCAAGACCCAGGCTCTTGCTGTGGAAGTTGATTGGGTGATTTCAGACCACTCATAGACTTTCAGCCTAACCTACCTCACAGGGTTGCTGTGCAGATTGAAAGGGGGAGAGGAGAATGATGTGAGTTGCTTTGGTCCCCCTTGTGGCAAAAGACTGTACTTTTCCTAGGTAGAGGCTGCAGGGAGGGGGGAGGACCTGGAAGCCTGAAGTCAGAGGAGCAAATAACGGTATGTTGATGCTTGGCTGGGAAGGAGATAGGGTTGCCACCTCCAGGTTGGGAAATTCCTGGAGATTTGAGGAGTGGAGCCTGGAGAGGGTGGGGTTTGCGGAGGAGTGGGACATCAGACAGGTAGAATGCCATAGACTCCACCCTCCAAACCAGACATTTCGTCCTGGGTAACAATTGTTGCCAATTTCCAGGTGAGGGCTACAGATCACTCAAAATTACAACTGCTCTTCAGGGAGCAGAGATCAGTTCCTCTGGAGAAAACAGTGGACTCTGCCATTATACCCTGCTGAGGTCACAAAAGCAAAATGACACTGTTTGCCCAAAGCCAGAGCACTCCCCCAGAGCCTCTTTCTAGATCTCGTTGTATTTATTTCCACAACGGGCTTTACTGCTAGTTTATTATATTGCTACCCCGCCCTCCCCACGAACGGGGATGTGGTGCTACACAATGCCTTTCATAATAGATGAGCCATGTGCAGATATTAACATGGGAGAGAACAATGTGGAAAAGAACTAGAAGTATATTCTAGCTGGGTTTTGTGTTTGTATTATAGTCCCGTTTAGGCAACAACTGAATGAATTTTTCTGTGCTAAAATCCCTTAGTGGATCTATCACTTTGTATTTTGGAGAAAATTACAACAAAAAAGAAATTGAATTTTGTTTAATGTTTGCTTGTGTTCTCCTCTTGTAATGACAGGTTGGAATAAGTAATGCTTAAAATTGTTATTAACCTGCCCCAAACAACCATTTTTTTGTCATAGCTAAAAGACAAAATATTGCTTTAGACTTGCTAGAGTCTGAAAGGAAATATGTTGTTAGCCTCTCCCTGATCCTAAAAATCAAGGCCACATTGCATGGACCGGAAATGAAGAGGAACACCAAGGAGAGAAGGTACTTTATTAGTTGTACTAGGGACCCAGGCATGTGGGGTTGGGCTTGATCAGGTACCCCACCATTGCTGTTGATCACCAACTCCCAAACTCCTTCCCTCTTTGTTTGCCTTGCCCTCATATTCTTGACCCATATGCCCGTGTTCTGCTATGCCCTGGTCACGTAGAACTTCCTCTTTCACCTCGTGGCACACCCTTGTACTCCTGTCAGACAAGACAGCTGCTGACACCCAAGGCTGCTGACCAATGCCTTCCATCGTGTTCCAAGAGCTGCTTAAGTGCACTACTAAACATGGTCTGCTTGTGTACTCTGTGACCACTGGAACCCAAGAGCAAAATATGTCTTTCTTTTCTGCCCGTCCTGTGGCAGTGAAGGGAATGGGAGGAGAGGTTGAAGCCCCTTCTCCCCTTATGCTGTGGTCTTAATCTGAACCACTTGAAAAACAAGTTACCCCTGACATCTGACTGCCAGAGTCAAATATGGTTTCCCAGTTGCTGGTGCAGCTGCAGATAAACTGCAGAAACAAAGGGGTTCCACATGGCAGGTTTCTCCACAGTTTCCCTGCCCCAATCCCTCAGATGTGGCCACCCCCGCCCCCCAGCCACTACGGCTTTTGAAATTAAAATAAAATTGGCTCTAGAATATTGCTACATTGATCTACCATTTACTGAGAGGTGTAATAGTTTCTCTGAATCCCCAGCTTTAATTAAAAAATGAAATAAATCTCTAGACCCTTCTGTTGTGAAGATACAAGGAAAAAGACATATCTCGCAAGGGAAGAGGGCTAGAGACTGAGGTTTTTGGGGTTTTGTTTTAAATGAAAGCTGGGAATTCAGAGAAACTACTCCACCTATCAGTTCAACAGTAAATCAATACAATTATGTTCTTATACTGATTTTTTAAATTCAAAAATAAAAAGCCTCACAGTGGTGGGGAAGGAAATGGCTGCCATGGGGACAGGTTCAGGAGAAATGGTTGCCATGTGGGCTAGCAAATCCAAATTTTCCCACTCACACAGCAGCCACCTAGGCTTTACTGTGATCTTTTCCAAAACTTCAGAACAAAGCAGGTTTGAGAAAGATCAGAGAAAATCCATGGAAACCCCCAAATGTGCATGAATGCACCATGATTCTATGGGGAAACATGGGGGGGGGGACCCATTTCCTAAAAACACTGAACTCAAGGCAGATAAACTGTGTGGAAAACACCAACCTCAAGGCAGATGACCCTTGACCCTAAACATTACAAATTGTAATATATGTAGTTGAAGTGGATGACTGGATAGATATATTTACACTAATTTTAAATCAATTTAACTGCCATAGGTTTCCCAAGGAATCTTGGTGGCACTTAGGTGAGGCTGCTGAGAAACAGAGATCGCCTAAGTATCTTCTCCAGCCTAGGGTTGCCAACTTTGGGTTACAAAATTCCTGGAGATTTAGGTGTGGAGCCTGAGGAAGGTGGAGTTTGGGGAGGGGAGGGACCTCATCAGGGTATAATGCCATAGAATCCTACTTCCAAAGCATCCATTTTCTCCAGGGAAATTATCTTTGAAGCCTGGAGATCAGTTGTAATTCCAGGAGATCTCCAGACCCCGCTTGAAAGTTGGCAACCCTACTCTAACATGCTCGTAGAAGTGGAACACCATAATAGTATACAGCTACAAAGAATGCTTCTTGTTGTGCCAGAGGTGTTGAGCATGGTGCGAGGATTATGGTATTGTTGAAAGAGCATTTTCAGTCTATTTTATTTTGTATCTGAAATATACTGGGTTTAGACGCGTTCAAGTGATCAGCTCATAGTTTATTAGTGATTCAGCAAGAGAAAGAAGACCCACAAACCCCTGGCCGAAGCCGGGTATTTATGCCTGAAAAAGGTCACACCCAAAACACACCCCACTCCCAACTATAGGCTATTTACACTACATTGTTTCCCAGTTGAGTTACTCTAGGATCCCTGTCACCCTACTGGTCCATTCTAGGATCCCAGCAAGCTATTGTTATGCATCCCCAAGCTAAGTCCTTTTGCAAGGACAGTTCAGTCTCAATACATAACAGTATCGATTTACTTTATTTGGAAGATCAATATCCCACCTTTCATCCCAAACAGGGCCACCAAGGAAATTGGATATTGTGGTAGGATATGGTGAGGTGGGTGGCCTCTTAAGTGTGACAGATAATGCTGTTTAGGACCTGACAAGCACTTTAGTGTGCCTGGAAGACTTTCTAATTGCCTCAGCCTCTGTGAGAAAACAAGGAGTTTCTTCTATTGGGATTTAATTTTGAATGTGTTTCTGGGCTCTTTAAAAAAATGGTTTGTGATAAGCTATTCCTTGTTTTCCACCTTCAGCTTCTTCCCCAACTCGTTGCGATACCTGGCCCAGCAGCATGTAGATTTACTTCATGCTCTTCAGGAGAGAGTGCTGAGCTGGCCCCGACAGGGAATCCTGGGAGACATTTTTCTTAAACTGACCAATGATGAGGTATGTACATTGAATAAAGCTATGCAGGTGAGGGGGGAAATATGCTTTTTGAAACAAGCAGTCCATAGTGACAGGGTAAAATTATATCTACAATAGGGTCATGCATAATCAGTTAGTTGATGTCGGTCATACAGATAAGCATTCTTAATTAATATTTTTTATTTGCTTTTAAGAACAATTTTCTGGACTATTACGTTGCTTACTTGAGAGATTTGCCAGAATGCATCTCACTGATCCACATTGTTGTTCTAAAAGAGGTAAGTGTGATCTTGTTAAGTGATTCTGGAAGAGCCTCATTTTATTCTCGCAACAAACCTGAGGCTAGGCTAGGCTGAGAGAGACTGACTGGCTCAAGGCCACCCAGGGAGCTTCCATGGCAGAATGGGGATTTAAATTTTGGTCTCCCAGATCAGAGACTGACACTCTAACCCAGGGGTGTCAAATATGTGGCCCGGGGGCCGGATGAGGCCCCCGGAGGGCTTCTATCAGGCCCGCAGTGGAACTTGCTGTCTTCTGCTTCTTCTTCCCGTTCTACTGCTGCTGCTGCGTCATTGTAGGTTTTCAGCTTACAGATACACACCTGAACAGCATACTCGAGATTGCAACAGCACAGACATTTTGATGTAATAATTCAGAGCAATAGGTGTCAGTTATTAGACACTGTTAAATAAACAGAATATTGCAAGAGTGCTAATGTTTTAAGCATGTTTTTATTTTAAGTAAAAAAAAAACCTTTGTGTTTGTGTCCTTTATAAAGTTTATATCTCCGCTACCTGGCATTACATTTTATGACACACATGGCTTGGCCCAACAAGGTCTCAGATTTGGCCCTCATAACAAATGAGTTCGACACCTCTGCTCTAACAACTACATCACACTGACCCTCAGCAGTATATATTGTAATATACGCTTTGCATAATGAACTTGGGCAGTATTTCAGCCACAGTATAACACAGAGTTAAGCATGCCTAAACTCGTTTAAATCCAATCTTCTCTCAACAACAGATTGAAGAAGAAATCAGGTCTGACCTCTACATATTCTTCTTTCATATAGTCCAGCGTATCCCTGAATACCTTCTTCATTTGCAGGTAAGACATAGAAACTAAGGTAAGACATAGAAACTATCAGTGTTCTATCTCTAAATTTTGTACTTTAGAAAACAGCACATCACACAGCCTTTTGGGTGGAGGTCCAACCTCAGAATATTGCTATTGGCTCAAAGGCTGCTCTTGATGAGGCATTCTGGAAACCCACAGTGCTTTATTAGCTTCCTAGAGGCCTAGGAATGTACCCTCTTTCCTCCAGGGACGCGTTCCAAATTGCTGGCTTTACTACACAAATAATTTCTGAGCAAAATAGTGTTCCCAAAATGGCTTCAAAATTCGTGATAAAAGTCACTAACAATCCCACAATAAGAAACCCCTTAAAACAGAAGACTGTGTGCTAAAACAATCAGTCAGCAATCTTAAAAATCAGTAAAATCAAACATCATGAAATTATTTAATATTAAAGTAATTTATTTAAAAGCCAGTGGCAACCTATAAAGTCGAAGCTAGGGAAGAAAGAAAAGGCACAAAAAAATCAAGCCAAAAGCCTGGAAGGAAAGAGAACAATTTCCTGGCACCTAAAACTGAGCAGACTTGGCAATTAGGAGTGTATCTGGGAGACTGTCATATCAGCAGAACCATTAGGTTGGAGGCAGTTGTTTATGAGGTTGTGGTTCCGCCAACCTGTTCTTGGAAGGAAATCCCGTTAACCTCAGTGGGACTTACTTTGGAATAAACACGTGTAAGGTTTGGAATAAACACGTGAGTCTTAACATCATCAAAATACGATCTGGGGCCCCTAAGTTTGGAGTGAGGAGTGGGCTTGGTACCCGGACTGGAACGGGCGGCTCCAGAGCTGATACAGGGGGACTCGACGCTCGGGCCGGGCGCCTGGGAAGCGTGAAAGGAGGATCCACGACTCTATCGGCTGGAACCCCCCAGTGGCTGATATATAGAACTGCAGGCACTGGACTGCTTGTGACTGGGGAGAAGACCATCTTGAGCCAGCTGATCCCTTTCTTTTCTGGCAATGTGATTGCGATTGTTGTTGTTGGAATTTAAATGTCAGTGGGTTTGTGAAGGTAGGGTGAGTGTTGTTACGTGCTGCTATGCGAGTGTGGAGTGAATGGTGATAGTGTGGAAGGGTGAGTGCTGCAAGAGAGTGAATTAGTATTTTCAGGGACTTGATAGGGAAGGTCACTGTTTGTAATTTTATTGGTTGTAGCACTGTTATACTTGCTAGCAGTAGGGTAGTTAATGGTTAGTTACTGTTGAGCAAAGAAACGCTGCTATGCGAGTGTGGAGTGAATGGTGATAGTGTGGAAGGGTGAGTGCTGCAAGAGAGTGAATTAGTATTTTCAGGGACTTGATAGGGAAGGTCACTGTTTGTAATTTTATTGGTTGTAGCACTGTTATACTTGCTAGCAGTAGGGTAGTTAATGGTTAGTTACTGTTGAGCAAAGAAACTGTATTTTAGCCCGGCTTACTTGCCCAATTTGCAAACCATGGGCAATCTGAAGCGTTGCGGAGATCGCCCAGCGGTGGACAGACCTGGTCATGCGATTCCGGTGCTCTTGGGGAGGGGGAAGTATAGCGGTGGGTCCAGGCAGTGTTTTAAGGGAAGGATGCGGAGAAGCAGAATGGTTCGGCACCCTTCCAGCCTGAGACCCATCCCAAGGGTGACTGGCAGTGGGGCTACGATTGAGTACCCCTCTCCGTCATTGGTGTTGTGCAATGCCAGGTCGATCAACAACAAAGCTGCTGTCCTGCAGGACTTTGTGATGGACCAACAAGCTGACCTGGCATGCGTGACCGAGACCTGGGTCAGGGAAGGGGAAACCTTAGGGGGAAACCGTTGCCCTGACCCAGCTTGCTCCACCTGGTTTCTCGGTCCTCCACCAATCACGGACAAAGGGGCGGGGGGGAGGAGTGGCTATTTTCATTCGAGAGGCTTTCTCCTTCAGGGCGCTTCCGGCCGTGGAGATCGCGGGCATTGAGTGTGTCGGAGCGATGCTGGAGGCTGAGGAGAGTTTGGCGATTTGGGTGGTGTACCGACCGCCAAGCGCACCGGCCAATAGCCTGCCGTCCCTGCTGGAGGCCGTATCAGGCTGGGCGTTGGAGCACCCTCGGCTATTGGTCGTGGGTGATTTCAACGTCCATGCCAAGGACGCGACCTCCAGCCGGGCTGCGGACCTAGTGTCGTCCATGGCGGCAATGGGACTCTCTCAGGTCATCACGACCCCCACGCATCGGGCCAGTCATACGCTCAATTCGCTGCGGGAGTAATGGTGGACCAGATTACTGCAATTGCGGTACCATGGTCGGACCACCAGGCCCTGAGGGCTCGTCTGAATGTGCCACCCCGACCCCGCTTAGGCGGCGAGCGGATTTTTGCTCGCCCGCGAGGCCAAATGGACCCAGTGCGGCTTCAGATGGCATTGCGGGAGCCGAAGCCCCCTGGCAGCTCGTTGGATGAGCTTGTGGAGGACTGGCACGACTGGCTCTCCGCAGCCATCAACGAGATTGCTCCCAGGCGTCCTCTCCGGACTCGAGTGAGGCGGGTGCCCTGGTATACTCAGGAGTTGCGCCAGCTGAAGCGAGAACT